TTAAATGATGTTATACAAATCTTGGATTTAAATTTGTTAGATTTATATGTTAAAGTTGAAATAATCATGTACATTGTAGAATAACTAGTTAATTTACTTATTAATACTTATTCCTAGTCAGGGGCGAAGTCAGAAAATTGGGTCAGAACAAAGAATATTTTTTGAAAAAATTTTACATGAAAATTTTTACACTAAAAGTATTGACAATTTTTAAATTTAGACTGGGCCGGTGCCAGGTTTAATTTGGCCCCTCTAGCTACGCCCCAGTACGTAGTGTTCTACTTTTCTATATAAATAGCAAACGCAGAAAGGCCATTATATACTATACGGAGTACTATATTATTGTGGGTTTGGGACTTGGGTATCAATTTAAGAACGAGTTTAATTAGGATATAGGACATGGAGGTGATTGACCAGTACGTATTCTAAGAGTATATTGCAATGCAACCGTTTCAAATGCAAATTGAAGTTGTATAATATATTTGGCGATCGCAAAACATGCATTCGAATGCACAATGATGGACTCTACCTACAAGATTAGTATCCATCAAATCTGTTCAAATAGTACTTGTGGGATTACTTGTTTAGGCTATCTTCACCTCAACTTCGCAAAATATACATGGTATATACATCAAGTGAATAAATACATACACGGTACTTGTGAACCCCTAATAATCTATTACGAGCTGAGTAACAAAATCACTTGTTAGATAGTCACAAACAATTGTTACAATGGAAAAAATATTACTTGTAGAGTTTGAAGGGACAAAAATATGACCAATTTTTACCTGGACAAAAAAGTGATCATTTAAAATTAAAAAGACTATTCCACTCTAGCGCTCCATCGAAGCCGTCGTCCTTTGCGCTACCAACTCCTTCAACAATTAGAGTTGCGACAAAGATGGAGTCCTTGCGAGAAGATGACGACCGACCCACATCCTTCTTCTGCATCGATTCTCTGTTCGGAAGCGGTGCATGCGAAGAGAGATAGGGCTGCAAGCCCTTCTCCTTTCTTCTCTCTGTTTCTAGAGCTTTGATTTCTGACGCTCTTGTCCAATGTAGCCACCATCCATTTCCGACGACTATAGTTTCAGATCGATGGTTAGGGTTTGTTTAAGCAAAATTTTGTTAAGCTAAAACTAATTAAAAGAGAAAGTTGTATGAAGAACGGGTCTCGTACAAGAACAATGAAAAAGATGACAAGTGAGCAAGTAAGAGTGAAATATGGTGTATTATTCGAATGTGTGCAGCCTGTGATTACAATTGCGACAATAAACACAAATCTGTTACAACAGCCATCATTAAACCTCATGAACGTATCATTGACTTCTGTGGTCAACCCTCTTTAATGCAACATAAACCGTCAAATTCTTGCTCTAACAATTGCCCCCTTTCGAGAAGTTGACGCGTATGATGCACGGGTCGGACTGTTAAGTGGCAATTTGTCGAAATTTTCCAAAGAGCCCTGTATCCTGGTTCATTACGCCCATTGACTTGCCAACGACTTGTCATGACGTATTGATCAACTCGTCTGACGAAAATGCTTCCGTCTTTCTTCGGAATAACATTTAATCGAATTCGTCTCCTTAACTAAAACAACGAGAACTGAAAGCTGACATGTTATCTTCTCCCCCTCAAAATTGCCTTGACGACTAGATGACAGAAATTTGCATCATCTTTCATATTGATGTCGACAGTTCAGTTGTCAAAGGGAACATCATCCGTCGTTGACGATGACGAGATGGGTTGTGTGAACTTGGTCCATATCCTGCAAAAACTTTAAACAGCGTTACGTTTGTCGTTCGTACTACTCCTTATGTTGGAGCATACGCTTCTGTTATGTAGTTCTGTATTTTTTTGTTGTGCGTGTACTGTCATATATGTTTCGGTTGCACATGCGTTGTCATATATGTTTTGGTTGCACGTGCGTTGTCATATACGTGTGTAGGTTTTGGCCAAAACGTATTGTATGGGCTCTGTTAGGACTGCGATCCATGATATAATCATAGGCAGCCTACCCCTTCCCATTAAATTCTGTAAGCCCCCCGTCAATTGTGTTTTTACGTGTTGTAAGGCTTCGTTTGATGTAAGCCCCCCGTCAATTGTATTTTGACATGTTGTAAGGATTTGTTTGATGTATATTAGGACATCATCTCATCAATTGTCAACGGTTCCTGTGCAAAAAAGTATTCGTTAACGTCAGTTGCTGGCTAGAAGCCAACGGCTCTCCGACGCTCAAATTAGTGATCATTCATATGTGAATGAAAGTAATAAATTAAGAATACATATATGAAACCTAATAGAAATCTATCGTCAGAACCTGTTCATAGCTAGACGATTTCAATCATCTCGTTAGGTCTATCTCGTCATGAGAGTGACTCATCACGGCAGTGATTCGTGACGGAAGTGACTTGTCGCGAAGAGCTAGGCTTGTCGCGGAGTGACTCATCACAGAAGTGATTCGTCACGGAAATGATTCATCACGAAAGTGATTCGTCACGGAATTGATGACAATATGCGAAAGAAAGTAACAAACTAAAAATAAAGAAACTTTAAGGGTACCGTATTGCAGCTCTTTAGAACCTATCTAACATAAGACGACATGCCCCCCGTCCGAGATTTCAACCATCTTGTCGTGTTCATCTCGTCATGGATGTGATCACTTGTTCCACAGGTCTTGAATAAGGTCTCACGTGCCCCCCATTATCAAAACTTTGAAGAAAATCTATTTGCTTCGTCAGGTGGAAGGCGACTGTGACACGACCCTTATACGTAGTAGAACTTTAGGTTCTGAAGACGTCATCTACAAATAGTTGCACGCTGGACTCGTTTGGAAATAATTTGACACTGTTGACTGTATCAACCGTGTCAATCATCGATTTTGTCAAATGCACCAATGTGATGTCTCCATTGATTTCAAGACCCGACACGTCCCTAAAACCAGTCAGATCGTCGGCCTACATCTTCCCTTGAGACTCGTTGGATGGTACGTTTGTCAAATCAAGCCGTCACGATTTTGATTACGTCAAGGTTGACATCATTTTTGGACTCTTTGCTGATTATACACGATTAGTTTGATTCATAATAAAAAGGAGGTGTTACTTATTGGAGTAATATCACCTCCTTAACTCTTTTGACCAAGGTGAGACTCGTAATGAGCTCTTCATATTCGACTTCGGTATTTGCGTGTTTAGAATCAGAATGAGTTGTTCGTGAAATATTGCCCCCTTGCGGCGATTTTTGAAATTTCTGATTTGAGTAGAACTTACTGATTGCTTTGCTTCCAAACATATGCCTAAATACTCGACCACATAAGGAAACTCCAGAGGCATATTTTGATGAAACCATCACATCGTCTTTGTACACTTCTACGATTTCCTAGATTTGTTTTTTGAACGCCATCGCCACTAGCCATCGAAAGTTGTCCCCTGCATTCTTAGGTCCACAAGCGTCATTGAGTTCAATGAGATGAAATCAGCGGTAAAGGTTGGTATATGATCAATCGACAAGATGATATGTTTCGTTTCTTCCTTCATAGTTTTTGATTCCATCTTGAATCCCGTCATTGATGTCGAGCTACGACTTTCCATGGATGATAGTTTTTTCTTGCACGAGGCACCACGGTGGGCACCAAATTGTTTAAGCAAAATTTTGTTAAGCTAAAACTAATTAAAAGAGAAAGTTGTATGAAAAACGGGTCTCGTACAAGAACAATGAAAAAGATGACAAATGAGCAAGTAAGAGTGAAATATGGTGTATTATTCGAATGTGTGCAGCCTGTGATTACAATGAAGGATATCCTATTTATAGGAAGGGTAGATAATGCTCTCATGATGACTTTGTCTGTTACTGACGGGTTGGGCGTACTTTATGACGAATTCAAATATATCATAAAGGCTGGTCAATTACACTTATTACCTTCCTTAATCACATTAAAGAGCCCAATAATGTACAGAAAATGTTACAATATTTAAAAATGAGACTCTAGGACGCTTCATTAACTCCAGTTGTCCGTTATTGGCGGTTTGACTTGACGGTTCCGACCCGACGGTTTCACAACTCGTCATTAATGCTGACCAGCTCAAAATGGGTAACCTCCCGCCTTAATATCGTTACTAATTGCAATAATAAACACAAATATGTTACAACAACCATCATTAAGCCTCATGAACGTATCATTGACTTCTGTGGTCAACCCTCTTTGACGCAACATAAACCGTCAAATTCTTGCTTTAACAGGGTTCAGATCTACCGCAGTAGTGCGATTGTGAGCGATTATGTGACACCGCACCCGAATGTCCTTGGAAATTTGATTTGAATATTCAAAGCTTATGTATTGGATTTCTGATTCCCAAACATTTTGTAAAACGATCAATGTTCTACGTAGTGCATGGTTGAATATCGTACTGTTCAAACTCGTACATTAGTGTCGGGTTTCGCAAATACTTACTCGGGACTTATTAATAAATAAAAGAGCCCAACATTATCTATATAAGTGATCGAAGGATTAAAGAAGAATACAAATGCCTATAACCCCATCTTTGGCATTTTTGAGCTAAATAATGGGAGTAGGATTTTCCTTCTATAACATCCATCAAGTAAATTATTGGGATGAGCCTACACATATTGGAGGTCAATAATGTGATTTAGGAAGTTGACTTGTTCTAAATAAATTAGGATGAGTACAAAAAGACATCTTTGACAAAGATAAAACAATAGGACCCATCTTCCCATTTTTTGGAAGTATTGGTAGATATTTTGGACCCCAAATTGATTGGGATTAATTGGGGGGCATCCCATGTGGCTTGAGTACCTGCAAGACAAGGAAAATATGTGAGGAGACTCACCTTGGCCGCACCACATGGAGAAGCATTGCCCATGACACAATTGGGATCAAATTTTGGGGCCACCACCACTGTTTTCGCACAAACAAGTGTGCTGTTTTGTCTCCCTTCATTTTGAGAGTTGTACTCGTCCAAATGGGGTGTATAAGGTGTCTTTGGATAGCTTTTGAAGTCTATTTTCATATTTGAGTGGCCACAGTTCGAGAGGAGAGAGCAATCATCCAAAAATCGATCTGGAACGAGCAGAGGTCTGTGAACTCGAGCTGTGAGAGTGCTGAGACTGTTTGGTCGATATCTCGAGTTTCACCAATCCAATTAAGGCGTGTGAGATACCAAAAGAAAGCTCTCAAGACGAGGAATCCGTGAAGGTCTGGTTTGCATCAATCGGAGTAGAGGAAGGCTTCCAAATCGTCCGAACAGAACGCGACCTCGCAGGAACGGATTTACTCTTCTAAGTGAGTTGTTAATCCCAAAACCTTTCCATTCATTTTCCAAATGATATGAACGATTGGTGGAACTATTATACACTACTCCAAGTGTATAATATGTCCCTATTAAGTTATTTTATTGATGTAAAGGTTAGATACTAACCTAGAACAAATCTTGGAAAACTAGGAAACGAGTTGGCCGGAAAACACCCATTCTAGGGGCTGTTTTCGTACCAACGTTTAGGGGTTGAGCTAGCACCTTGAAGAGGCTGTTTAACACTCATATTTGAGCAAGGAATCAGTTCCAAATCCACCTTGACCGAAGCTTTGACCATTGGACCAAGAAGGGAAAGTTTAAAGCTCAATTGAGGTGAGGATTGACATCTAATTGCTTACAACTTGTAGGTTAAGCATGAGATTACCTAAATGCTTAAATCATGATTTTTCATGGATTATGATGATTATATATTGATGAAATACTGATATAGTTGCCAAGGAATGAAATTTGAAATGATTTGAGAAGGTATGAATAATATGAGATTAAATGAGTATAAATGAACTATTTTGTGAAAATGGGCATTTTGCTCATGTATGAATTATGTGGATACATAAATAAATATTTGTGTATTGAGATTGAATACTTAAGTTGCTGCCACATAATTATAAATATGTAGAGAATTACAAATAATGAGGATAATGGTATGATAACAATAATCTTAATAGTATTGAAATACTAGTTAGTGATTATTGGAACTTGTTGATTAAATTGATCCTAGGGATTGGATTGTATGAAAGGTGCTTGAATATAGTTCAAGTGTATATAATAACTTAGTTTGGAACTAAGGTTAAGTTATGGGAAGTCTTTAAGGATGACCCAAAGTAGTTTAATGATATGTCAATTCTAGGCATAGGGTTGCTTGAGAATTGGACCTTAATGCATGGTGATGTAATAGAGCCGAGCTCTAGAATGCATGTAAGGTGTAGACTTGGAGTCTATGTATTGTATAGCTAGAGCCGAGCTCTAGAACTTGCGTGGTGATGTAATAGAGCCGAGCTCTAGAACGCAAGGTAAGGAAATTGGCCCGAGGTATATGAATTGTATGGTGATGTAGTAGAGCCGAGCTCTAGAATACAATGTCATGTACTAGGGTTGGACTCTAGGAGTTGTCGTGGCTTATAGCCACGGGGTTGGGAATGGTGATTTCCAAATGAAAACGGGCCCACGGGCCGACTACTTGACTTTTATATAAAGTAAGTATATTTTTAAACGGGGTAACTTAGGGTTACAATCATAATGTACTATCACCCTATTCGAGGGTCTTGTGTTTGAAATACTTGTTGTATATCTATTAGATGCCTGCCACACCAGCACTTTATAGCCCTATAGAGTGCTGACCCCTTCGGGGGCGTCCCACCACCATTTTTCAGGTTGAGGCTAGAGCTTGCTTCCTGTGCTCGTTGCTCGAGGGATCATCTAGGAGCGAAGACTTGGTTCGTGCTTCCTCCATTCGGATTTTAAACATTAATAAACATGCTCATGGATATCTTACTATGGAGCCTGCGTGCTCATGAATAGCCCGGTGTGGCCTTTTTGTTTTAAACAATGTTTTCCGCTGCATTATGAATTACTTATTATGTTTGTTTATGGATGACTTTTGTGTGAATGATATTCATGACGCCTTGTATAATATGAATGTGTTGGACTGCGGTTGACTATTCGTATTGTACGGCGGGTTGTTGACGTGTCCGGGGAGGTCCGGGGCGTGACAATTAAGTTGGTATCAGAGCCTTAGTCCATAAACTTCATAATGAAGTCTCAAAATTCTCTTTTTGAAAAGATTTTGAAAACCATGAGCATAGAAGTTTTGTACTTGGAGAGCTTTTGTTACTTGGGTTGCAAGGTCTCTAATTGTTAAGATGGTACCCTTAGCAATTGGTATGGCGGTGACTCGAGCCAAAATGTGTCTTAAGTACCTATCCGTCAATTGACATTTGATACGAGTCTAACGACTCCTTCCAAATTTCTTTCAGAAATGGACCGTGGTGGCAGGATTACTAGGAGAAACCCGACTGGCCGTGTACCAGTGGAGACTGGACAGGGCAGTCGAAGGACCTCTAGGGCATCTAGAGGAGCTGGCCGTGGAGGCCGATCACAGACCGTGAGTGACGGTCATGTCGACACGGAAAGTGAAACCTACTGGTCCTATGAGGACTCGACCTATCGACCGGAAACTGAACCGGTTGAGACCCCTTATGAAGGGGATGATGATGATGTAAGTGATGAGGAGGAAAATGGCTCCTTAGCACGGATTGAAGCACTACTTCAACAGTACCACCGTGAGCGTGAGGAGAGGAGGGAACGCCGAAGGCGCCGGGCTGGGCAACCTTCGGGCGGGGCTTCAAGAGGGAGAAGCCATGGCGACTCTAGGGCCCACACTGAACCACATGGGGGTCGGGGTGATGGAGGTCCAATCATAAGGATCTCCAAATACATCAAAGAGGCACGAGACTTGGGGTGCAAACCGTTCGATGGGACGGGTGACATCTCCGTTTCGGCACAATGGATTAAGCGGCTGAATGAGGCAGCCCTGGACATGCAACTCACCCCCGAATATAAACTAAGGGTTGCGGTGAGATTGCTTGAAGGTATGGCATCCAAGTGGTGGGATGGGACCAAAGGCAAATATGGCGAGACTGTCACTTGGGAGGATTTCCGACAGGAATTCTTTGCCCAATATTACTCGGACTTTGAGGTGAACAAGAAAGTGAGGGAATACACCCTTCTAACCCAAGGGGGTAACATGACGGTGAGGGAACTTGAGTACAAGTTCAGGGATCTTGCCGATTACATACCTGAGTATGCTTGCGACGAGAACCGGATGGTGAACCACTTCTGGGATGCTCTAGACTTGGAGATACGTGACAGGGCAACACAATTGCCTAACATGACGTTTGCCCAAGTGGTTGACCAAGGGTTGAAAGGAGAGAAGCAATGGGAAGAAAGGAAGAAGAGAGACGCCGAGGAGGCGAAAAAGAGAAAGTGGGAGAGTCATGGCTCCCAAGGTTCCAACAAAAAGGGGAACCACGGGGGAGGATCTTTCCGGGCACCACCGCCACCATATAGGGGGAACCAAGGCCCGAGTGGGCAAGGCGCGAGGTCACAAACCTCAGTGGTAGCTCGTTGCAACAATTGCAAGAAGAACCACTCCGGTAAATGTCGCGACCCCCCTAGATGTTTTCAATGCGGGGATGCCGGGCATTTGAAGGCACATTGTCCACAATTGAGTGGGGCAAGGACATCGGGACCAAGTAGTGGCCCGACGGGTACGCGGAATCAACCCGGGGCTTCTCAAGCAAGCCGGGGACATGGGGGAGCAAGTGCGAGCAACGCGCCATCCGTGAACCAAGGGAGGACCCAGGCTAGGGTCTATGCGATGACGGAGGCGGATGCTCAAGCTAACCCGGACTCCGTTGCAGGTATTGCCTCTCATATACTAGTGTTTTATCCTTAATTAGTCCATAAATTGAGGATACTAATCGCTAGGATCATTGCACGAGGTTTTGGGGTCGAACCGGGGGATTTCGGGCAACTTCAGGCGGCTGGGACCCAGGCACGATCGTGCCTAAGGCAGACACGATCGTGCCTCCAAGTCAGTAGCTGCCCAGGAATAATCCCAGCCCAGGCACGATCGTGCCTAAGGCAGACACGATCGTGCCTACAAGGCAGTAGCTGCCCAGGGTTTTTCTCCAAACCAGGCACGATCGTGCCTAAGGCAGACACGATCGTGCCTCCAAGTCAGTGGTTCCCAGGATTTTTCCAACCCAGGCACGATCGTGCCTAAGGCAGACACGATCGTGCCTCCAAGGCAGTAGCCCCAGGGCGTTTTTCCTGAGCCAGGCACGATCGTGCCTACCCCGGGCACGCCGTGCCTGGCACCCAGATTGCCGAAACCCGGTTTTTTTCGCATCGTTTTGCGACGTTAAGGCCTCTTCTTGATCCCTAACGTGCGTGTGAACATTGCAACCTTCTATAAATGAGTAGGGAGGGTAGGAAAGATGTCTTACATGGTTCATGAATGTAGGGACACTAAAGATTAACGGGAAGGATGCACGAATCCTTATCGATACCGGAGCGCAACGTTCATTCGTGAGTGAGGCGTTTGCCGAGAGCTTAGAGATGCAATCAATACCAATGACACAAACCTTAGTGGTATCAACCCCACTAGGGGAAGACGTTGAAAGAAACAATTACTATCCATCTTGTATGGTGGAAATCGGTGGCCAAACCTTGACGTGTGATTTCGTACCGCTGAGTATGATGGAGTTCGATGCAATCCTAGGGATGGATTGGCTAGAAAAGCATCATGCTAGGGTAGATTGCTACACAAAGGTGTTGGAACTCGAAGGCACACAGGGGGACACCCTACGCTTCGAGGGGGACCGCGGCAAATCAAATAGTTGTATCATATCCGCCGTGAGAGCGAGAAATATGATGAGGAAGGGATGCCACGCATATCTAGCATTCGTGGTTGACAAAACCAAAGAGGAAACGAACATCGATGATGTGAGGGTGGTTTGTAAGTATCCGGATGTCTTCCCTAAAGACCTACCGGGGCTTCCACCTGACAGAGAGATTGAATTTGTGATCGAGGTCGAGCCTGGTACCAAACCAATCTCCATACCGCCATACCGGATGGCACCCGCTGAACTTAACGAGTTGAAAACCCAATTGCAAGAGCTTTTGGATAACGGTTTCATTAGACCAAGCCACTCCCCGTGGGGAGCACCGGTTCTTTTTGTGAAAAAGAAAGATGGGACACTTCGAATGTGCATTGACTATCGTCAACTGAACAAGGTCACAATCAAGAATAGGTATCCGTTGCCTAGGATTGATGACTTGTTTGATCAACTACGAGGAGCAACCGTGTTTTCGAAGATTGACTTAAGGTCGGGGTACCATCAATTGAAGATTAAGGAAGATGACATACCAAAGAGTGCTTTCCGCACAAGGTATGGGCATTTTGAGTTCCTTGTTATGTCGTTTGGATTAACAAACGCCCCGGCGGCATTCATGGACTTGATGAACCGAGTATTTCATAAATACTTGGATCGATTCGTGATTGTGTTCATAGATGACATCTTGATTTACTCAAAGAGTGAAGAAGAGCATGAGGAGCACTTGATACTTGTTCTTGAAACACTACGGGAGAAGCAACTCTATGCCAAATTTTCTAAATGTGAATTTTGGCTCTGGAAAGCATGCAAGCGGGGCCGGTGGAGGATTTCAGGGAAAGAGATGATGGTCTCTTGTTATTTCGTGACCGAGTGTGTGTACCGTCAGATGATGAGCTCCGAAAGTCCATCTTAGAGGAGGCTCATTCATCGGCTTATGCCATGCACCCGGGGGGCACGAAAATGTACCGTGATTTGAAGGAAAGTTACTGGTGGTCTGGAATGAAGAGGGAAATAGCCGAGTACATCAGTCGGTGCCTTACTTGTCAACAAGTTAAGGCAGAACATCAGCACCCAGCAGGCTTATTGCAACCACTCTCCATCCCTGAATGGAAGTGGGAGCACGTGACTATGGATTTCGTGGTAGGCTTACCACGGACTATCAGGAACTATGACGCGGTTTGGGTCGTTGTGGATAGGCTCACAAAGAGTGCACACTTCTTGCCTATCAACACTACCTATCCACTTGAGAGGTTAGCCAAATTGTATACGGATGAGATCGTGAGGCTGCATGGGGTCCCGGTGACCATTGTATCTGATAGAGACCCACGATTCACATCACGTTTTTGGCCGAAATTCCAGGAGTCTATGGGAACGAAGTTGAAGTTCAGCACTGCTTTCCATCCACAGACGGATGGGCAGTCTGAAAGGGTTATACAGATCCTAGAAGACATGCTGAGGGCTTGTGCATTGGAGTTCCAGGGGAGTTGGGACAACCACTTAGCACTTGTGGAGTTTGCCTATAACAACAGTTATCAGGCAAGCATCGGCATGCCTCCATACGAGGCATTGTATGGGAGGAGGTGCCGTACACCCTTATGCTGGGACGAGGTTGGCATGGCCAAACTCGAGGGTACTGAGTTGGTTGAGGTCACCAAATCAAAGGTGAAGTTGATTCGAGAGAGACTCAAAGCGGCTCAGGATAGACAAAAGAGTTATGCAGATAAGCGTCGAAGAACCTTAGAGTTTAAGGTTGATGACGAGGTATTCTTGAAAGTTTCTCCTTGGAAAGGGATCATTCGGTTCCAAACCCGAGGAAAACTTAACCCACGATATATAGGTCCATTCAGAATTATAGAGAGGATTGGGGCCGTTGCATATCGTCTACAGTTGACTCCTGAGTTAGAGAAGATACATAATGTGTTTCATGTATCCATGCTTAAGAAGTACGTGCATGATCCCTCTCACGTATTGGAGAAGCCACCTGTAGAGGTACGTGAGGATTTGAACTACGCTGTTCAACCTATCAAGGTCACCGATAGAAAGGTGAAGAAACTGAGGAACAAGGAAGTCCCAATGGTTAAAGTCCTGTGGAAGAGCGATCGGGTCGAAGAAGAGACATGGGAAACAGAGGCTTTGATGAGAAAGCAGTATGCTTTCCTATTCGAGTAGAGCTGTGAATTTCGGGGACGAAATTCCTGTTAAGGGGGGGTGAACTTGTGACACCGCACCCGAATGTCCTTGGAAATTTGATTTGAATATTCAAAGCTTATGTATTGGATTTCTGATTCCCAAACATTTTGTAAAACGATCAATGTTCTACGTAGTGCATGGTTGAATATCGTACTGTTCAAACTCGTACATTAGTGTCGGGTTTCGCAAATACTTACTCGGGACTTATTAATAAATAAAAGAGCCCAACATTATCTATATAAGTGATCGAAGGATTAAAGAAGAATACAAATGCCTATAACCCCATCTTTGGCATTTTGGTGTGTGTGGGAGTTTGTCCCACACGAAAGAGATTCACAATTGTTTAAAAAAATTGCACAAATCCGAGATGAAATACTCTCCAAATTCCAGGACATCCCGAGTGCTATACTTGGCTTAAATGCTTTTCAGATGAATGGTAAGCTTGTATCCTCCAAAGTTTATGATTTGCTTAGGCCTAGGGCTGCCACCCGTGTGTGGATGCCGTTTATTTGGAAAGATTACATCCCTCCCAAGTTTTCCTTTGTTACTTGGCTGGCATTCCGTAACAGATTAGCCACGTGTGATAATCTTCATAGATTAGATGTGGATAATACTTGTGTATTGTGCAAGGGTGGACCGGAAACGGTTCCACACCTCTACTTTGAATGCCCTTTTTCAGGAAAAGTTTGGGCTATGATGAAAGCATGGATTGGCATTCCACGAATGATGGGGACCCTAGCTAGTGCGGTCAAATGGATCAAGAAGGAAAGGAGTGGAGCTAATGTACGAGCCAAGGCCGCCAGGATTGCTTTCTTGTGCACCATATACTCGCTTTGGAGAGTCAGGAATGCAGCTCGATTTGATGATTTTTTGCCAAAGGAGGAGGAAGTTTTTGCCAGAATACAATATGTTGTCTATAAAATTCTGTATTGCATCTATCCTTATGATTTGGTAGTACTTTGATAACTTTCCGCCCATCACCTATTTTTGTTTGTGATAGGCCGTGAGGTAGTATAGGGGGGGCTGCCATGGCACCCTTATTTTGGCAGGTGATGGGTTATCCAATCTTTGGATAGCCTACAGTTTTGCTCATATTCTTTGCTGTACAGACGAACTATTGACGGTTTTTTCTAATATACTTACATGTTATCGTTGAGCTAAATAATGGGAGTAGGATTTTCCTTCTATAACATCCATCAAGTAAATTATTGGGATGAGCCTACACATATTGGAGGTCAATAATGTGATTTAGGAAGTTGACTTGTTCTAAATAAATTAGGATGAGTACAAAAAGACATCTTTGACAAAGATAAAACAATAGGACCCATCTTCCCATTTTTTGGAAGTATTGGTAGATATTTTGGACCCCAAATTGATTGGGATTAATTGGGGGGCATCCCATGTGGCTTGAGTACCTGCAAGACAAGGAAAATATGTGAGGAGACTCACCTTGGCCGCACCACATGGAGAAGCATTGCCCATGACACAATTGGGATCAAATTTTGGGGCCACCACCACTGTTTTCGCACAAACAAGTGTGCTGTTTTGTCTCCCTTCATTTTGAGAGTTGTACTCGTCCAAATGGGGTGTATAAGGTGTCTTTGGATAGCTTTTGAAGTCTATTTTCATATTTGAGTGGCCACAGTTCGAGAGGAGAGAGCAATCATCCAAAAATCGATCTGGAACGAGCAGAGGTCTGTGAACTCGAGCTGTGAGAGTGCTGAGACTGTTTGGTCGATATCTCGAGTTTCACCAATCCAATTAAGGCGTGTGAGATACCAAAAGAAAGCTCTCAAGACGAGGAATCCGTGAAGGTCTGGTTTGCATCAATCGGAGTAGAGGAAGGCTTCCAAATCGTCCGAACAGAACGCGACCTCGCAGGAACGGATTTACTCTTCTAAGTGAGTTGTTAATCCCAAAACCTTTCCATTCATTTTCCAAATGATATGAACGATTGGTGGAACTATTATACACTACTCCAAGTGTATAATATGTCCCTATTAAGTTATTTTATTGATGTAAAGGTTAGATACTAACCTAGAACAAATCTTGGAAAACTAGGAAACGAGTTGGCCGGAAAACACCCATTCTAGGGGCTGTTTTCGTACCAACGTTTAGGGGTTGAGCTAGCACCTTGAAGAGGCTGTTTAACACTCATATTTGAGCAAGGAATCAGTTCCAAATCCACCTTGACCGAAGCTTTGACCATTGGACCAAGAAGGGAAAGTTTAAAGCTCAATTGAGGTGAGGATTGACATCTAATTGCTTACAACTTGTAGGTTAAGCATGAGATTACCTAAATGCTTAAATCATGATTTTTCATGGATTATGATGATTATATATTGATGAAATACTGATATAGTTGCCAAGGAATGAAATTTGAAATGATTTGAGAAGGTATGAATAATATGAGATTAAATGAGTATAAATGAACTATTTTGTGAAAATGGGCATTTTGCTCATGTATGAATTATGTGGATACATAAATAAATATTTGTGTATTGAGATTGAATACTTAAGTTGCTGCCACATAATTATAAATATGTAGAGAATTACAAATAATGAGGATAATGGTATGATAACAATAATCTTAATAGTATTGAAATACTAGTTAGTGATTATTGGAACTTGTTGATTAAATTGATCCTAGGGATTGGATTGTATGAAAGGTGCTTGAATATAGTTCAAGTGTATATAATAACTTAGTTTGGAACTAAGGTTAAGTTATGGGAAGTCTTTAAGGATGACCCAAAGTAGTTTAATGATATGTCAATTCTAGGCATAGGGTTGCTTGAGAATTGGACCTTAATGCATGGTGATGTAATAGAGCCGAGCTCTAGAATGCATGTAAGGTGTAGACTTGGAGTCTATGTATTGTATAGCTAGAGCCGAGCTCTAGAACTTGCGTGGTGATGTAATAGAGCCGAGCTCTAGAACGCAAGGTAAGGAAATTGGCCCGAGGTATATGAATTGTATGGTGATGTAGTAGAGCCGAGCTCTAGAATACAATGTCATGTACTAGGGTTGGACTCTAGGAGTTGTCGTGGCTTATAGCCACGGGGTTGGGAATGGTGATTTCCAAATGAAAACGGGCCCACGGGCCGACTACTTGACTTTTATATAAAGTAAGTATATTTTTAAACGGGGTAACTTAGGGTTACAATCATAATGTACTATCACCCTATTCGAGGGTCTTGTGTTTGAAATACTTGTTGTATATCTATTAGATGCCTGCCACACCAGCACTTTATAGCCCTATAGAGTGCTGACCCCTTCGGGGGCGTCCCACCACCATTTTCAGGTTGAGGCTAGAGCTTGCTTCCTGTGCTCGTTGCTCGAGGGATCATCTAGGAGCGAAGACTTGGTTCGTGCTTCCTCCATTCGGATTTTAAACATTAATAAACATGCTCATGGATATCTTACTATGGAGCCTGCGTGCTCATGAATAGCCCGGTGTGGCCTTTTTGTTTTAAACAATGTTTTCCGCTGCATTATGAATTACTTATTATGTTTGTTTATGGATGACTTTTGTGTGAATGATATTCATGACGCCTTGTATAATATGAATGTGTTGGACTGCGGTTGACTATTCGTATTGTACGGCGGGTTGTTGACGTGTCCGGGGAGGTCCGGGGCGTGACAGATTATGATTGGCAACGACGTCTATAACTGTGGCTACAGAGATGACGAGCGATGGCGAATGAGAAGGGTTGGTCACTGGTCGTCGATTGCGCCTAGGGGGCTGGTCACTAGCCGTTGTTAACGCCCAATGTTGCTGTCACAGCTCTATTGCATAGGAGATGTGAAAGATCTGAGATTGTGCTAGGTCTAGGTCTTTTGGGTGGGCCAGGGTGGGGCTGGGAGCAGGATAGGGGAGCAGGGGGGTTGGGTACAGGGAATGGGGGCTGGGAGGGGGCTAGGCGGTAGTCACTGGATGAAGTGGTGCGGTGGCGGTAATTGGGCGATGCTAGCGGTGGTGTCATTATGACCTATGACAATGTCACTGTGGCCGACGGCGGTGTCACTATGGCAGTGTAACTGTGATCGACGGTGGTCACCGCTGCTGGCAGTGGTGGTAGTGACACGAGCGATTGCAGCAGAAGTGACACTAGCGATGACGGCAGCAGTGACACGAGCCATGGTGGCAGTGACATCTGACAATGACGTAAAAATGGCGCATCAACATGAATATTTGACATTCGCTTTTTTAGTCATATTTTTGTCCCAATGTAAAAGTAGTCATTTTTTTTGGAAATCAACCTTAATTTAGTAATATTCAGAGAAAACCCCTTGTTAAAACACATACATGAATAGAGCACTCATTACAAGCGAGAGGTTAACATTAAATTTTAAGTTCTTACATTCCCGAAATGTGTTTGAAGAGTCAATTGATCGAAGTCCTGGTTCAAATTGAAAATCAGCTAATAAGTCTGAAACTGAACCTTGAAGAGCTGATGTGCTACCATTCAGCGGACCATTTATGTCATTTGTAGTTGCGATGCTGATGTTTTTTTTTGCTGCTTATTACTAATATATTTTGTTTTTATGATTTGTTTTCTTACACACAAATGCTAAAGGTATCCCATTTGGTACCTCATTTGGTACGTGTTTACACTACATTTTGTTCCAAAAAAATGCTTGCAAAGTACGTGTTTTCTTACATACAAATGCTAAAGGTACCTCATTTGTCCCCCACCCCCTATGTTTGTGGTTCACAAAAGTAATTTATTAAAATGGAGCAATTAATTGAATGTGTTCGACTTTTGTGAACAACACATTGAGTAAGGTACAAATAGGGTAACCAAAATGGGACACATCTACCATTTCTCTTACTTACATATACTCTTAACAAGACATATTTATTCCTTCTGCCTTTTATTTTATTTGTTTCTAGCAGGCTTGTCTTTAATGTTTATGAAATACGTTTGATTGCTCTCTCCCGAGTCCCGACTAATGTATAATTTAAATCAAGTGAAAATATATTTTTAGTAAAATATAGGAGTATAGAGAGCAAACCAAATCAATCAAACAGTGGTTTTAAGTTTTAATACGGAGTATGTAAAATCGGACTAAACCGAATCAAACTTCTTATTTTGAATCCGTAAATGGTTTTGGGTCAAATTGAAACGAAACAAACCGAATCCGCCCGACCTGAATATATTGAAGTGTAGAAAAATTATACTACGTACTACGTATTTAACATACTACCTCCGTCCCACTAAGATTGGGACGGAAGAAGGTGGCACGATTATTAAGAAAAGTGGGTTTGTGTGGTTGATATTAAATTGATAAAGTAAGAATAAAGTAAGAATGGTTTGGAGCCACACAATCTTTACCAAATTTGGTATGGGACAATCTTAATGGGACTTCCCGAAAAGGTAAAATGAGACAATCTTAGCGGGACGGAGAGAGTATTTATTAGAAATAAAGTTAAGAAAAAAATTATACACTAGGAAAAAAGCTAAAAAAATTATGCACGGAATAAAGCTAAAATTGTCCTCTTGAGCAACTTCATATGATTTAGCCACAAAAATAACTTCAAACTTATTTGAGTATTACACAATTCTATATGCAAAAATCAAAAGTTCAGGGTAAGGTACGAAATTGGCAGATAAGATTTACATGTCCAAAATAAAGGTTATCAAACTATGCCTTAGTTTATATGTTTCCATTTCACAAACAATTTTTTTGTTCAAGACACATAGAGGCCGTTTGGCAACACTGTTCTTCGGCTTATCAGGTTCATCAGTCAACTTTTTCACCAAACATGTAACTTTTGCTTTTGCGCACTAAATTGTGTAATAAGCAGAAAAAGTAAAGTTGAAGTTACTTTTCTGGTCGTATTGGCTGAAGTTATTGCATATGATCATTTTAGCTTTTTTTACATATGATTTTTTCTTTATTTTACTAATAAAATATATTTTAATTTCTTTTTCTTAAATCGGTAGAATAAATCACTTTAGCCAAAACTTTATTAATATTTGTCATACAGAACTACTCGTATTACGGAGTATTTGTTGTAGTATAGCATATGCCATATGCATTTGTGCCGGCCCGCGCAGATTTCATTAAAGAGAGGAGTTGTGTATGACATACGGAGTAATTTCAGAAATGTGTGTTCATCAATTCCGTTTGGTCGATTTTCGATTTGGAAATTTGGTTTAGGTCAATTTTTTTGGATAAATTCTGGCTTGCTTTGATTGATTTTAGTCGGTTTTGATCAATTCAGTCGATGTATTTTTCTTACAGTTAATCTTAAATCGAACCATCTGTGAAATCGATTTTAATTGGTTTCAGTTTTTGCATCCTCCAATTCCAACCAGTTTTTCTTAAGAGAATTCCAACCAGTTTATTACTCCGTAGTGGTTTCAGATGGGTATCTATTTTTTTTACTGAAGGGAATAATATGATTTTTTTTTTAAATAATGCACCTGAGAGTTTCTGACATACATAAACGTGATTCAAAAGGGGAATTTTTGAGTGACTGTACTATTCTTCCAGCTAAGACCTATGTACAGCAACTTGCAGGCAGGCAACATAATTGTACCTATATTTTGTTTTTTCTTCAAAACCAAGAAAAAACCTGGTAAGATTGATTGAGACACAAAACACACTTCTTTTGTTTTCATATTTCTTCCGTTTTTATACTCCGTATATCCGTAATTAAGTTCATACTTTCTTTTTGGAATAGTCCATATTAAAGTTTCTACTTCAAACATTTCTTTATTTAGCAAATGATTTACACTAAAACAGTACCAAACAGTGTGAAACAGTGTCAAACCGTATTTAAACAGTGTTCAAACAGTGCACTCCACAGTAAAGTCAAATTTATTTCTTAATATGTGTGAAGTCAAACTAGGAACTTAATTAAGAACCGGAGGGAGTATATAACTTGAAATTCATAAAATTACTACTCGTATTATTTGTTTATATGAAAACTATGACCCCGTTTAGTAATATCAAATCGGTCGTTAATCGATTATGGTGAAATTTATGAAGTTCTAGCTGGATTGACTGATTTTGATGATTTATGAAAAATTATACTCCCTCCGTCCCGAAAAGGTTGGTCAAATTTCTTTTTTGGATGTCCCAAAAAGATTTGTCATTTCCATTTAATGTAAGGAATATGTGGCTAAAGTTAGTTCTCTCTCCTCTGCACAAATTTCAACCACACAATTTTTATTTTATTAATTCACGTGAAAGTCATTGGTCAACCTTTTCGGGACGGGGGAGTATTAAAAATATATTTTATAAACAAAAATATATATGAAAAAACAACTAAAATGATCCTCTAGAGTAACTTACGCCAATACAGTCAGAATACTAACTTCAACCTTACTTTCTCTTATTATTACACAATTCAGCACATGAAATCAAAAGTTACGTATTTGATAAAAAAGTTGGTTGATAAGCTTGATAAATCGAAAAACAACAAATACGGAGTATAATACTCCATTGTCCCATACTCCGTATTAATTTTTGAGGGGAGTATAATTACCAAATAAGCTCCATAAGATTAATACTCCATTGTCCCATACTCCGTATTAATTTTTCCAACTTTCTTTGTTCTTTCATTCCAAAATAATCTTCACTTTCCTTTAATTGTAGAGAATTTGTGTTTCACTCTCCTATACACAATTCAGTGATTCACCATCATACAATTTTCAATTTCTTAAATAATGTGCAAAAGTTATTTGGATGATTATATTGGGACGGTATAAATCTTTAAGTTATCCGTAAAAAAGTAAAAACTTTTTTAACAATTCAAAAAGAAGAATTCAAAGACACTGATGGGCAAAGAGTAATTGAAATAGCTTAGATCCATTGGGCCAGTGCAAGATATGCTTTGATTTGTATGTCCCTCTCACGATTTGCGCATCTCTTAATTGCTTCTTATTGTTATACCTAGTACTAGTGTGTACCTCCCTCCCGGAGGACTTTATCAAGTGCAAAATATTTGAGAAATAAGAATAGTAAAAACTGTGTAGTTGAGATTTGTGTAGAGGAGAGAGAAATGTGCAGAACCACAAATTATTTGCTTTAATAGAAAAGTGACAAAGTTTTTTGGGACAACCAAAAAGGGAAAATTAGCAAATTCCAATGAGACGGAGGGAGTATTATATACTCTCCATATATTATCAAAAAATACTCCATACATATTTTTCAATTCATTTATCTATTCCTATTTACATTAGGAGTAATGATCCTGTCCAACCGGAGGGACAAGACCCTCCATCCGGCCGTTGCCATTTGGGACGGTTTACAGTGAAAGTTTTTGATAAAAATTTTTGAACATATTCTTCATCAAGTCTAGTTTACTCATACCAAATTTCAACTAAAAATTCAACTGGTAAGACAGTTAAATGATTTCCTGAAAAATAGTGCGCTGTTTATATATATTAACTGCGCAGTTATCTTCACAAATTCATTTGACTGCGTTCCCGATTGAGTTTTTAATTGAAATTTGGAATGGGTAAACTAGACTTGATGAAGAACGTGCTCAAAAAATTTCATCACAAAATTCCACCCGGAACCACCACAAATGGCGACGGTCGGACATGATCTTTTTCCTTCCATTAGATCTTCC